TACACGGGGAGACTTCGGCCGGCGGGATTCGAACCCATGAACTCTCAGACATGGGCCCAGCGCCCTACCATCCAGGCTATCCCGGCTCAAGAAACTTTATAAAAAGTATAATCTAAAGTATAATCTGATAGGTGTAACAACCAGATAAACTAATTAAGCTACATTCCACGGTTCATTTGATAAAATAAAACTCAACAACAGTCTAACTCCAATGTCCATTACCTAACAAAAAGTCTAGCTCCTATTTCCAGTGAAATTTCTTTTTTTTTATTACGGTTTTTCTGTCATACTAGTTGTAAACGATTTCAAAACTATAAAGGTAAAAAATGTTCTTTACCGTAAACTTTACGGTTGATTGGATGAACAGACAGCTGCCAGTTATTTTACCGTTATTTTAGAATGAAAATTCTAACATTGTATCCAATTTAAGGTTACATTTAAACGCCTCTAAATAAAGCATTATCGTTCATTGCATGTAGAAATTATGAAGGAAAAATGGTGCGGTTGTTGTAGATTGACTAATTGAAGAAGATGATGAGAAACAGGATTAAAACCATAATAAAATTTTTATTTCGTTGCACACCTCGAGTTGCAAATTAAAAAGAATATTGTTACCCAACTGACATTTTAGTGAAATCATGAAGTTTGTATGATATGAATAAGGACAAACTATGAGAGATAAATCCTCTACAACCTGCATGATCAATATCCGAATTAAAAGTGGTATTTGATCAACGCTTTGCAGTAAAGGTGAGATCCATTACAGGCTAATTATCAAAAAAAGGACCTTGCCAAAGGGAAAGCCAATTCAACTAATCTCATGTTATCTTATGTTAATATTCAAGTAATTTGGCTGAAGATTTAAGGCCTAAGCGCTCGTTGGAAACCAAAGTAAACCTAATAACGTATAAGCAAATGTTTAATGTGGTTGAAGAATCAGAGGTTAACAATGGATTTTGATGTTCAGTTATTGCACGTAACATTGAATAATAATTCGTCATACACTTGCATTGAAATAAAAAGTTAGCCGTTACATTAATCGAGAATAAAACTATTTCCCTTCGCTCTTTGTATAATTGAATTAACTGATTTATTTATTTAAAGAGAGATTAGGAATAATTAACTTTGAGAGATAAAGAAAATTTAAAAGCTAGGAAATATGTAATGCCTATAATGGCATCACAGAAATCTTTCGAATAGCTAAAAAAATTGTAATTGTTTAAACCAATTACTTCGTAAAGAAACTGAAATGAAAATAAAATATAAAAATAAATTAAGTTTTCCATTAAGATACTTAATACTTCTTTAGGTATAATCTAAAAAGCAATGTAATTTAATTGCATTCCCCCAAGAGGACTATAACTAATTGATATAAACCTTAACAGGAAAGGGATTTTCAACGAATGTTAAAAGAATGATATAACAGTGGATAAAAAGGTTAGCAAGAGAATTAAGCATTAAGTATTCTGAGGTAAGAACGTATGGACTAAAAAATAAATAAAAAGAAAATGACAACTCCTGATTAGTTTTTCCACGATCTCTAATGGCTACATTATCTTGATTGTTCTATACCATTCATTTTCTTGGAATTTCGCTATTTATACCTTCTTTTCTATCCATTCTTTTAATGAGAATTTCTGTTTTTAGTATCATTAGATTTCTTATGGTTGGCTAACAGAACAAGAAAGAAGTAATTAAACACTAATCTTCTATGGGAGTTTGGTCTTTATATTTGTATAGTGATTTTTTTTCCACGATAATTCCAAGATAATTTGTCTTTATCTAAAGTTTTCCGAAAAGAAATGGCCATTATTTAATATATATTGAATTTGAATTACTGTTTAAAGGTTTGGAAATTGTGTAAAAAATTGAGAAATGGGTTACTGTATAAACTCTAATACTAATTAACACTACTCTAAGAAGGCTATATTAGAGTCGATTTAATTAGTATTAGAGTGTTTAATAATATTAGAATGTTTAAATGAACCAAAACTTTTTTTGATTTGAACTGTCAATATACATACAATTTTTGTTTCATAATCTAAACTATAAAAAATTCAGCATCAAATTACGGTAAAAAGTGCCGGCACTCAAGGTGCCGGTGTTTTTAACCTTAAAATCCATTTTTATTGGAACATGTCCTGCCTCTATTTCTACAGTAATAACTACTGTAAAAACCATTGAATCACTCTAATTAAGTAAATATTACTGTAAAAATTAAGGGAATAATATTTTAAGGCAAAAATGAAATTTAAGAATAATGCACCCAATGCCGATACTCTATTCTATAATTTGATACGGGATTTTCTAGTGTAGGAATGCTTTAAAACACCCTTAATTTCCATTGAAGCCTTATCAAAATTAAAAATTCATACATACAGTTTAATTAAATTTTATCGAATAAGTAAAAGCTAAATAAAATTATGAACCTTAACTTCATAAAAGATAAACTAAAAAGAAGGAAAGCAGAAAAATTTATAAATAAGGAATCCTAGTTTGTTTCTAATTTGTTGAAAAGAGCTTATACAGCCATAGTTAGCGTGATATCCTGCGTTTACACAAGCAAAGGGAAAAAGGTTGAATTTTTCTCGCTGGCAGTCTCCCACGAATTCTGAAGAATCCATTTTAGAAAAAAAAAATTTCGTCAGAATTATCCATTATCCATTCCATCACTAATGCACTGTAAAAAATTCCGGTCAAATTACGGCAAAAAGTACCGGCACTTCGGGTGCATCATCCGTTAAATCAATTTAGAATAAAATTTATTTTTACAATAAAATATTATACAGTAATTTTTACAGACATATTTATTTAATTAAAGTGATTCAGAGATTTATTACTGTAAAGATTGCGGTATATGAGATATTTTGTTCCACAACATATTCCGGTGAAAATGGATTTTACCGTCTGAAGTACCGGCCCACAAATCCTTACTTCACCTTACGAGCTCTTCCCACAAATCCATCTGAGAAACTTGAGACAACTTCACTATAAAAAATTCGTGGTTTAAATTACTGTAAACCAGGGGTGTCAAACTCAAAAGCTAACTTGGGCCAAATAAACAATGCTTAACTTCAGGTGGGCCGCAAAAAAAATCAATGCTCATAGAAGCAAATATTTTTATTTTGAATTGTAATAAACATATATAAAGTTAAATTATTGTTTACGTCCTGATACTTGACATCTCTTCTCTGCTATTATCTTTTCTATTTCGGGAGAAATTTTACTGGCTGAGACTACTTTCAAAATTGACTCTCAATGTGAGCGTTATTAATACGGTTTCGGACTGTAGATTTACTTTCACTCATAACAGAAAATAATTGCTCTCACTGGTAAGTACTTCTAAACTTGGAAATGGTTTCATGCGCGAATTTTCGAGTATTTTCAAACGTTGCTGGTAAATATTCGTGAAATTTAGGCTCACCCACTTCAATGAACTTTGCCTTCAAATTTGAGTCGCACTGAATCTCAATCACTTCCATTTGCATATAACTGGGTACTGAGTCTATATTTATTGAGAAAATCGAAGAAAAACAAAATTTGTCTTCTAAAGAATTTAAACCTTTAAACCTTGTTTCAAATTCTGTTCTAAGATTTGAAATTTTTTTCTGCGTATTTTTGGTACGATGCAGTATCATCTAAACTAGATTTGTTCTTGTTGCACGTTGGGAAATGCGTTAAATCTTAATTTTTCAGTTTCCTTTCCCAAAGAAATAGTTTGCATTTGAATGCTTTTTTAATTATGTCAAACATGTTCGTAATGATCTGATCCTTGCCTTGTAACAATAAATTTAAATCGGATAAGTGTTTGGTTAGATCAACCATAAAAGATAAATCTTTCAACCATATTTGATCGGAGAACAAGCTTGTATCTTGATTTATAGTTTGTAAAAACTTACATATTTTTTCTTTCAAATCCCAGAATTGATTGAGAACCTTGGAGCAAGATAACCAACTTAACTCGCTGTAGTAGGATAAACCTGAATATGTACTATCTAATTAATAGCTTAATGTGAAACGGACTCCATTTCAGCCAATTAGAATTTTAAATTTTCGCGCGTACAATTTAAAATAATCCGTATACTTTATGAATAAAGTATATTATAATTTTATATGCTGGTTTCGTTTATAATTCACATTTCCAAATTATTTTTACTTTGCTTCGGATATATTGACTGGGCTACAAAAATGTTCATCTCGGGCCGCGAGTTTGACACTCCTGGTTTACGGCAATAATTTTCTTAAATCTGTTTTCCATCATTTTTGCTTCTAGCTCCTACTACTTTTATCCTTTTTAGTCTCCAAACCACTTTAAGAAAAATTTCAATGCAAGTTGCAAGCATTTAAGTTGTGGGGAAAGTAGTTTCAGACCATGTCAACCGTCATCTATGAAAAGGTACCCCACATTGGTGACCTTCGGACGTGATGTGAACACGCCTACCTTGGCAAAAACGCCCACTTTGATCTGGATACGCCTACTTCGTTGGATGGTCCACATTGAACAGTTGACTTGCTACTTGTAACTGCATCATTATCCACCTCCTCACGCAGTTGCTACTCAGTCTCATCTCGATCACACACAACGTTGGCTTGCATACACTCGACTGCTAACGGCAACACAGGAGCGACTACAACCGTGAAGTTAATACACCTCTCACGTTCAGCACTCAAAAAATACGGTGATCTTAATACAGCTCTCCCGGCTTCGCACAAAACAGCAATGAATCAACTAGTGGCATCCATTCATCGAATTCTATCATAGCTATTATTCTGGTGGGGGTCCTTTTCATAGATGACGGTTGACATGGTCTGAAACTACTTTCCCCACAAAGTCTTTTACGTGTGTTAGTTTAACATTCTTCATTAAAAAAATGAAAATAAGTTCAACTGAGAATAAAACAAATAATAACTTTCAATCATACACTTCAAAAATTTTTTGGAAACTTAATCCTCGAGCTTATTTTCAAACCCATAACTAGAAAAGACAAAAATTTACTTACCGAAATCAGCTCTGCAGTAGTTATCAATGATATTTTCATAAGTGTCAGGTTGATTGCAAGCGCTGCAACTTTGTGGCTCTGAAAATAAAAACAAACGCACACATTACCAAGGATTCAAATCGAAAACTCAAACATCTAGAAAGTCACAAGAGCAACAAAATGGGAAAACAATTCGACTCATATTGCATTACGATCCGCCCAAATACTTCTTTCCCCTTCGATTAAAAATATTTTCTCGGATAAAAGCTCCGCGGTTCCATCAGGGGACCGAATTTTAACAACATTCACTGAATCTTTTAGCAAGTTCCACGGATTTCTATTTTCTTCTTGAATCGAAAGGAAATACGGATTTGCAATTAGTTTGGCTGCCTGATGACGAGAAGATGTGCCTAAGTTTTATCTTCTAAGGAAAGGTGAAAACTAGCTTCCGATGTTTCTGTTTCAATGTTCATTCTTTTGAACAAAGACAATGGTAAACGAAAAGGGGGAAAATCCTTTTGTGAAAGGAGGGGAAAACAGTTTCTTAGATATTTTTCTAATCAACGGATATTTAAAACAGACGGTGTGAAAATCTCTCTATAATTAGAAATGTCAGTTTTAGAAAAATGCAAGGCGTCATTTTTGATTCAAGTTGAGCGCTATGAGAATTATTTCGGGTTTAATTAGAGTCTATGTCTAAATTACTGAAGGTTGTGGAAGATTTATTAAGACCTTCAGATTTAATGATATAGTTAAGGACTTAAGGTCTTAAGTAATAAATTGACGTTTTAAATTTATTAACATTTAAGAAATAATAAGTTAGTCTTGATTAAATCACGAATGATTAAAATTTGAAATAAATAGAGTTAACAGTTTGCAAAAGGTAATAAATCCGAACATTGTTTTAAGTAAAATGAAAATTCATTATTTTTCCTTCATTATCTATATATTGTATATTATTTTTCATAACGTAATCGCATTGTACATCTAACTACTCCACAGTCCATAAAATCAAAATCTTACTTTAAAAGTGAAGAGCTCCCATCAGAGATTTTAATTCTTCCATGTGAATTAAAGGAGAATTTAATAATTATAATTTCCTTGCTTTTAAAGTTAAAATTAATACTTTTAAATATTTTTTGCATCATTTCATTCATTAAAATGTGTCCCATTGAATGTAGTTACCAAATTTTAAATTATAAAGCTTTTTTTTAAGACTTAAAGTTTATAAAAGTTTAAAATACAATCAATCAAAATTGTGTAGCTAGGACCTATATCACATATTTTAGTGCATAAAATGAAACAAAAAATATTAAATATTAATTAGTTACTTAATAGGGATATTGCTTCCTTTCAATTCTCCGTAGGTTAAAATAAATATAGACTGTTTGAAGAGTAAATTTTAAAAGCTTACTAACATTTATTTCCCATTTTAATTGCTGACTTACATTTGAAAAAGAAAAAAATTATAAATTGAAATATACCATCAATTATGTTGCGTTTGTCAGAGTACAAAGAAAAATCGTGATCTTTTGAAGTCATCGTAAAATATCAAAAAAGATTTTATGCAAGTATATTAGGATAACTTTATTAATAAAAATAATAATATAGGATTAATGTGCATCAACTGTAGAAAGGTGTACCATATGAAGAAAAAAATTACGGTCTTTTTTTTTTAAAGGAAAAAAGCCTTTTTTTACAACTTCTTTATTGGTTATGTGTTTATCGTAATTCATTAATTTCTTATCTTTATTCTTTTATCTTTATTCATTTATATATCTTTTTTATAAATCTAATATCTTTTATCTTTATTTATTTATTTTTACAAGCGCACATTCAAGCTCGTGATCTCATTTACAAAATCATTCTTAGAAATTGTCAAATTGAATTCCTTGCCAAATGACTTTCTTTCATTCAAATGAATTTTTTTTAATTAATTGCTTTTTCATCTGTATTATTTAATTTATTTCAATCTAACAAATAATTCTAAACTAAACTATCAATAAACCATATTTTAATACTCCCGCAATACAAATTTTCAATGAGCTTGTGTATAGCTACTAGATTTGTGCAAAATGGCTTGAATGTACCTGTTTACATATTCATAACTGGAAATAAAGTGCCCCTTTTGAATTAATAAGAATGTCCACCTGATATTCTCATAAAACAAATAAGAATTACCAGTAACTCTTCAGTCTTGATTTTAAAAAAATCATGTATTTTCTTGGTGAAAAGATAAAAATTTCTGAAACTTTTTTAGTGTACTTTTTTTTTGAAAGTATGGTATTTATAAAAAGTAAACCTAATTAATACTTTCAATGGAAAATAAACTTCACACATTTGAAAGGAGAATTTTAAAGGATTTTCGACTTAAGTTTACTGAAGAATGAATTAAATCCAAAATTATTTATTGACTGATTTAAATTGATTTAAAATGATTTGATCATTATTTAAATTCAATTAAATTATGCAAAATTTAATACATTAAATTTGAATTATGAGTAGAAAGAAGAGAAATAGAAAATAAACTTGCTATCAAGGAAATAAAAAAAAATTTTTTTTTAATAATTTGTTGTATTTTTCTTTCTTTTTAAAAATAATTGCTTTTTCTTTAGTTTTTAAAAGATAATTTTATGGACAATAAAATAATGAGCGATCCACACGAGAGATGAAACGGGCTCAGCCCGAGACCAAAATCCCGGACCCGGAAACACCTCGGGCTCGGGCTGATAAAATCGCTAAAATTCTGATTTGTTAAAAAATTTATAGAATTCTCATGATAAAATTTTAATCAAATTTTTTACTACTTTTAAACAAACATTTGGTATAGTTACTAAGAATAAAGATGCAAAATTTATTGATTGTTATAAAAAAGTTTTAATGACTTCCTTGTTTAGGCATCAAAGGCCTAATAGCGAGACCGCGAAACTTGTATTTCGGACGGGTTCGGGTTCTCAGTAATCCTATATCTCGAGTCCTATATAAAACTTTTCGGGCTCGAACTTCCAAAAACGAGTCTGAAACTCAACCCTAATCCAGACTGACAAAATGTAAATTTGTGAAACCCTTTTACATCGATAAATTTAACAACTTGAAATAGCAGAATCCTTAACAATCACAAACCTGAAGTAAGGCCAAATTCATTCAAATTTTTTTTTTGAAGAATTTTAACAGAGTTCAAATAACCAAAGTATCAATTTTAATATAAAATAGTATAATTTTTTTTAGACTAATGATATTTAAAAAATTTCAAAAAAATACATCATATCTTTTATTATAAAATAAAACGATCCCACAAAAGCCGATTGTCGGCCAAGGATGCCAGGAAAGTTAAGGATCGACGGTTAACAGTGTGAATAGTACTGCGCATCAGCGGCCTTGATTTATGTAGTCTTCACACCACAATCAGGAATACTAACTACCCTTAACCGCTGTTCCAGCCTGACTGAAACCTCTGTTTTGAAACCAATGATTAAATAAAACATATCTTAATGAAAGAAGTAACAAAACCGTTAAATAATAATAAGTGAATACAATAAAAGGTCCCCCACTTTAAAAACAAAATGCAGAGCAAGCCATCGTTTGCGCAGAATAAGTCTGTTTGTGCAAAACTAATTGTAAAAGTAAGAAAGAATAATTTAAATAACTCAATTTAATTAACGTAAGCAATACAGCTTTTGTGATAAATTGGTAAAAATATGTTTGTTATTTTCATTGAAGCTATTTTTACTTTGTTTCAAAATCGATAACAAAGGCGGGTGCAGTTTATTGAGATGACGAAAATCAATTAATTAACATCTTTTCTGAGTTACACTAACTATGAAAATGGTACGGAAGTTTTTTTTTTTTTTACCAATGGAACGCACTTAATCACTTAAGTTATAGGTTTTTGAAGCAGGAATTCAAACAAAAACCGTACCTACCAAAATAATTGAATTATACTTTATTCGGATGAGCTGAATAAAAATATATTTCCTTTTTTTTATTGATCATTTCTGGGCATTCTATTTCTTTCATGGAATTGATTTAGATTCTAAATCATTAAAAGAATACCAGAAACTTTTTATGAGGGAAGAAATATTATTGAATTATGAAGATGCCGCTATGTCTCCACAGATGAGATATTGGTTTTATTTTTAAGTTCCTCAGACTGCTCTAGAACGTTTAAAAATAAGTTTTTGATTGATTTTTTTTCAAATAGAAGTTATATAAATTCGTAGGTGAATAGAAATTATATAAATTCGTAGGTGGATCAAAGGTAAATGAGACCTTTTAATAGCAGCAGAAGATTTTTATTTTCGTTGTCAGAACAACAATAGAACTTTATTTGGAGTCTGAATAATTGTTTGGCAGTTCTTTGGAAGTTATATTTTAAAGTAGCTTGAATCCTAAGCGAGCGAAATGTTCCTAATGCAGTTGCAGAATGCATAATAATTTTATTTTTTCATTTATAACCGTTGTTGAACAGTCGACCCAAATTTTGAGTTCATGGCTACCACTCCGGAACCTTGTAATTTTGCACCCAATCCAGAAGACAAGGGAACATCTGAATCAAGTATAGCGATAAATTTTGCCATCGTGGAGGACTTTTTGTTGGAACTAACCCGTATTTGCGTTACATGGAAAGGAAAATCACGAAAACCTTCCAAGGTTAGCCTGACAGCAAGGGGACTCTAACCCATGATCCGTCTACCACTGAGAATACTTTTACGTCAGCACTGTGGTCGGTGCAAGCCAGTTACGGATTCCGTAACCACCAGCAATCGCTGGGATTCGAACCTGGTTCACCGCATTGGAAGACAAACGCTGAGCCACCACGGCTTAACGTATAATAATTAAACATAAGAAAATGTCACATCTATTTACGTTTTACGCAGATTATAGACAATGATACCCTGTCAAGAGCTCAAGTATGCAAATGCAAAATTTATTTAAACAAGGCCGTGAAGAAGTCTCGTCGAACAAGAACTAGTCTTACGACAAAGAAAATTGATCAAGTTAGTGATATTATGCATAAATGATCGGCAAACTAAAGTTCGAGAAATTAGTACTCAAACAGGGATTGAGTTATGGAAGTGTGCAAAGCATGTCATGACGAG